AAGTACTTGGATATATGACAAGACAATTGCTTCAGCAAGCAGGGATTCTGCACGGCGCAGAGATGTCTGACATTTCTGAACTCTAAATAGAAAAGAAATCCCAGTAAACGTCAAGAGAGGTTGCTTCCCCTCTTGCAGATCCTTTTCTCTGCTAACCTGAAGGACCGTATCGATATGCCTGGTGCCAGTTTACAGAGACTACAGTCACCTTTCTACATTATATACACACAGATGCAGAAAAATCTGTCCTAGATCAGAAATATCAGACAGGTAAATACATACTGAAATCAGTGACTATTTGAATAAGCATTTTTTTCTTGTTTGTTTAGTTGTTTAGAAATATCTTTCTTCATATTTCCCCCTGTCCCCCTCTCTCTCAGCTATTCTTAGACGATACTATGTCCTTATGGATTTGAACAGTCATTTATGTACCCATACGTCTCCTGTATCCTAAGCACAAATTTTAAAATACTTTTCTGGGAAGACTTAGCCTTTTAGTCAGTTCTGCATTTTATTGAAAGAATATAAAGAGTTTTGCCCTATGCTTCTAAAAAAAACCGCCATGTACCAGCTCTGCAGCCTAGAGGAATGCAGTGGCCAGAGTAACCTCAAATGTCCTTTGGAAGTTTGTCACTACAGCAGAGTGTTTGCAGGAGAACTGGAAAATGCATTCTTACCCATTAATGATAAAAGTTTGGGGACCTAAACTGATGAGCTAGTTTAGTATTTGCATGTTCTATACTGGATTTTGCTGCTTATATCTCATTAAGAGCTAGCAATTAATATGGTACAACAGAGTCACTAACGCTCCAGTACTGCATGTTTCTAAGTACCTAAACAGTCCCACTGCAATAAGCAGGGCTACCCATATACTTTAAATTAAACACGTTCTCAAGTATTTGAGCTTAGGTTTAATTACCTTAGTAATACTCTTTTTAAAAGTTCAATACAGTAGACTGAGATAGCTAGTCTATCATAGACAATTCTGTTGGGCACTCAGTATTTCTAAAATAGAACTACCAGAACATCAGTGTTAATGCATTTCTATTCCATGCAATCATGGGAATTTCAAAGAGAGTAACATTCTGAGGAATTAAAGCAGCTCTGGAAGATAACAAACTACTGTGTGACTTTGTTGTCCTACTCTAAGTTAGAAATAAAATGCTTCTGTTTTTTGTTTTTGTAATACTCTGTATTCTTAATATTCTGTAAATGCATGTAAATCATGCATCTAGAAAGCATACAGATGTTTGCTGCAGTTGCAGGACACCTCTATAAGTTCTCCTCTATCTCATACTTCTACAAGGACTCTCAGGTCTCTATTCTGAAATAAATTCTCAACCATATCTTGAAAGAAAAATAATTGAAAGGAGTCAAGACTCAAGAGAAAGATAAACGTATAGAACAGAAGAGCTCACAGCAAAATATAAGGAAGGGTGATGGATTCACTCTGTGTTATAACACTAACACGCAAGATTTATTCCAACAATTAAAACACGCCATTTTTGTTACTGGTGTCCCCTTGCAGACTGTGGGTTCCTGGAGCAATTTTGTATTGCTTGCTCTTCTCTTCTTCTGTATTATCCCATCAATTTCCTGGCAGTTTTTTCAGGATTAAACTTTATTCTAGAAGCTTAGGGAGGATCAGAGGAGGGGGGAAAAAAAAAAAAAAGAATAAAAGACACACACCTCACACCTCAAAAATGAAGCTTTGACAAGCAAAATCAAAGCTTAGTTTTCAGAACAGCCTACAATGACACAGGCTTCAACCCTAGCTATTCCATCACTGTCTATTTTTGTGCATGCGAAGGTGTATGTCTAAAGGACTTGTAAAGTAATTGAAGCAACATGAAAGATTCCTGTGCAAACTTTCTTAAACACACAACTATCTATCATTTCAAATACATCATTTTCAAGGCTTAAAAAGAAAATAGAATTGGATGGAGGTCTATACATGTTCTTGGAATTTAATTAAGAAAAACAAAAACATTTATCCTCCATATATTCACAGTGAAACCTCTGCCTTGCTCTCTCATATTTGCAGGCAGAGGAAAGAAAAAGAACAGTATATAATAAAAAAAAACAGGAGCAATCATAAAAATATACTCATAAAATAAATCCTTTTTGATTAAAGGAAAGAATAGTGTCAACTCTCATTAAAGAGGCTGAAATAATGGAAAGAGACAGCATAGTAGTCTAACATGTAAAATATGTTTACACACTCTGGAAGACCTTCGAGGTAGGACCCAGGCTTACCTGCAGGACTAACTGCACGAGTTAGAGAAATGAGGTTATGAAGATATCTGAAGATCTGATATCTGTGATACAGAAGATAAGGCCAGGGAATAACCCCAAGAGAACCATTGTAAACTTGAACTTTCAAACTCAAAGCTAGCAATGCACCAGCAAAGCTCTATCGGGAGTAATCTGTCAGAAAAATAGACTGGAGAATTTCAGTGTAGAATCACAGAATCTGAGAAGGAAAAACATTGTCCTTCAGGAGTTTAAGAACTATAAGGTCTTTTTTGCCTTATCTTCAATATCTACTTTCTCCTTCAGCTGCCTATGTAAACAGCTGAGCACACTATACAATCCTTGTTGCCTTCAGGATTCTGATCACCGATCACCCTTTACCATAGGGCAATTTCCCAAGCTTCTAGAGAGAGAGGCAGAGGACACTTTGCCATAGGTTATAACAGAATCTATAACAACAACAAAAACTAAACAATAAAAAGCAGATCTCTGTCCCTCTACTCCTCTACTCTTCAAAAACATAATTTCTTAGATATTATGATTATAACTTTAGCAAATATCTAAGAAGTTATTAAGTAAGACATGCCTGAGGGAGTCCCAAAGATTGTTATGAAACCTTGACAGAAGACAAATAATTGTAATCAGTATTACTTCCAGACAGCTCTGAAAGAAACAATCAACCAGCCTCAAAACAACCAAAAAAGGCCTGTCAGATTTGAAGCTACAATAAAGAAGCTGTCATTTTCAGACAATCTTATTAGAGTTAAATTGTATTTTATAGATACATATTTTATTACAGTTCCAATTAAAATCTTTGACAAGACATAATGAATACTTAGTTTTCTCCAAAATATAGTGTCTGTAGACTTGTGACACTGCCTTCAAATGCAACAAAATTTTCTCCAACATAAGAAAAAAAGAAAGAAAAAAATAATCTGGCAACAATTTGACAGGCAACTTTACATCACTAGTGAATGAAAGACCCAACCTATGAATTAAGGAGAAGCTGGCATGTAGCAAATAGCCTACAAGTACCTTGAATCTACTTCTGAATTGGATCAAAATGACAGAAATGTGTGCAAGAGGTTTGTTAGGTTGAAGTAAAAGGAAGGATGAAGGCAAATTTGCAAGAGCTGGAGAACTCAAAAAGGAGGCACCATCATGTTGAACACTTCCCTGCATCAGCAGACATGAAGCCATCACACCGAAATACAAACTCTCTGCAGCAGTTCCCCCTGGCAGGGGATGCTGTTCCCCATGCAAATGCCCACTCAGTGCTAAATGCTATGATATATTAAACAATAAGGAAAATACATGCAGGAACCCAACTGAAAAAATCAAGATGGCTCCCTTAAATTTGACGGAAAAATGCTGGCACTTTACAACAGTCAAAACTTTGCCACTTCTGCACACTTACATTGCTCTCATATCTTGATCAAAATAATTTCACAGAAAAATTACACTGTATTTTCTGTGAATCAGTTATCTTTCATAGTCTATTATTAATTACCTGCCTATTGAAGAAGCATCACAATCTCCGTAAGGGAGAGTGACAAAATGGAGAGGGACGAAGGGGAGAATGCAAATAAAAAGAGCAAATTGAAAACATAGTGAACTGGAACCAAGGAATAAGCATCTCCCATACATCCCTGGAGGTGCATGCCTGCTTATAAATCAGTCACTCAATCACAGTGCACTATGTAAGCGTTGCTATGTATTCCAAGCAGCTGGATCAGCCTCCTGACATCCAATACCCTTGTTTGGAACAGATTAGCTTCTCAAGCAAGACATGGCTCAAATACACATTGAAAGACAGTGAAAGCTGTTTTAATTGAGAGTGGGGGCCTGGAGGGCAGAAAGTCTGTCCGTAATAAAAGGGTCAGCTGAATCAAACCTTTGAAGAGCTAAATCTGGGGTATGACAACAAGGGTAAAGGGACAGAATAGGAGCACTGGTCAGAACTGGAATAGCTCAGACAAAAGCGGCCGGGCAGCTGGAGTCTCTCCTCTCCAAGGCTGCTGGATGTGGACAAGCATGGGAAGACAAGTTCCTCTCGCTCCTGGGCTCTTTACCACTTGGGTCAGCTGTGGGAAGGAGGTTTGGATTTTCCTGGAGGAGGGTGGTTATGCTTGTTTCAAAGATTCACCTCCAGATGAAAAGTATTTCCAAGTACCAGCCTGAATAAACCAGAGCAGTGTAATGATGACATCCAGTGGTCACCAAGTTAATCTCAGCCTATGACAACAACATAACCTCATTCATCATAGCAGATTTTCCTTTTTCCATATTAGCCTGTTCTTTTACTCACTGGTCTATAAGAGTGACAAGATTACAAGCAGCAATGTAATCATTGGGCAAGATTCTTTGTAGTCGGGTTCTTGTAAAAAAAATCTACGCTTTCTGAAGGACTCTCTCACTTTAAAGAATTATAAATGAATTATGCAAAAACTGGAAGTGCTTTTGTGGTACCCAAAGAAACTGGAAAGCAGTGCAAACCACAAAAGTACATCAAGGAATGGAACAGGCTGGGAAAACACCCATACACATACAGAAGCCACTCAAGCTGGTAAAACTGTTTATCACATCTATCCTTCAGTCACACACATACACATTTTTAGGAGCCTAGACAAAGCCCTTTACAAAGTGCTTCTAAACAAAACACAATGGTTCATTTTTGTAAAGAACTCAGGCAAAATATACACTTGTATATTCTTTCACAGCAGGAAAAAAATGCCTTAAATACTTACTGTTCCAAATATTTCCGGCAGTCCCAACACTTGCCCAGTGAAAACACCAATACAGATGAAAATTGCCGTGACCTGACCCAATGAACCACGGATTTCCTTGGGAGATATTTCACTCAGATACATGGGAAGGGCACTCAGAGAGATGCCTGTGAAGGAAGGAAAAAAGAAAATGAATTGAGCCTCATTGCCTTTTCATTATGTCTGTTGAGAGGAGCTGAGTAGTAATCTGCTCACAAGTGACATAAAAGCCTGCAAACAATAGAACAAAGTCTATCCACACATAACAAGAATTATTTTCTCTGCATGCCTAACTACTCTTGCACCATTTAATGACAATCAACCTGATGATCTGTACTGCAGAGCTACAGAGGTGTGTGTAGACTGCTATTTGCAAAGAAGTGGCAAAGGTTACTCAGAACCACCAGGATACTGGATCTTACATTTTAAATTTGTTCATGTCAAAGTAAGCAAAAAACAAGTCACTATAGGTACTAGTAAGAGGGAAAAAAAAATTAGCAATGTGTCAAACATACACAGTATCAAGGGAAATATTATTGCTGTGTGGAGTATTAGCAGATGTTCTTCTCAATACAGGTTAACATCCGCAATGAACTTCTAACAGCAGGCATAAAACAAGGGGGAGAACGCTGCTCCAAAACAGAAGGCAAAGAGAAAAAACAGCCTGATCCTGCTCAGCACACTGACAGGATTTAGAGATCCAAACACTGAGCAGCTCGGGGGTAATCTGAGACGAAGTTTGCAGCCAGCACCAGAACTGCCCAGAGGCTGCACTTTGCTCGGGAAAGACAATCCCGGCTGAGCTCAGCGAGGCAGAAGTTGAGGAATGTCCCATCCTTTACCTTCACAGAATTACCCTGAGAGGCTAAAATCATCTTAATTCATCTGGAAGCCTGTACCACATTAGCAAAATGCAAAAGTTAGTGGAATTACTAAGAGTTTTAGAGTACCCTGCTGGATGCAAGATTATTTGGGAGCAATAACAATTCCATAGTTAACTTTTAACCTTGGAAAGAAAATGCTGTTAGAAGGTAATGTCAGACTTTTATATCTTCAAGTTAATCCTACTGGTATTAGCTTAAGGATCCAACAGCTCCTAAATGCAGCAGCTTTAACCAGTAGACCACATACTTCTAACCAAAGGATTCCCACTGAATGAAGTCCCAGAGGTTCACATGTTCTAGGAACAGTGAAGAGGAATGGAATGGGAAGGAACAAGCAGGAAGGACCATTGTGACTGCAAGTCAGATGCTCTGATCCTTTCTCTGCTGCTTTGTCCCTCCAAAAATCAGTGTGGTTGGTCCCTGGCATGCTTCAGTAGCGGGAAGGGAATGGCAGGAAGATTGTGCAGAGCACAAATGTTACATGTAGATACGTCATGAGAAGAGCTTACCTGCATCAACACCCATTATTATGCGGCCCAGAATAAGCATTTCAAAAGACCCAGCCAACATAGAGAGGGACATCAACAGTGCGGCCACAACTGCAAAGACGTTATTGAGCAGCAAGGTACGTTTCCTGAAAGGAGAACATATCTTACATTGGTACTGAAGTCATGACAGTTAAACCCCAGTCATATTCAAGGAACTCTAGACTATCAAATATTCATAAATAAAATCAAGCACCATATAACAAACACTGCTTCCTACCTGTTGAATGGTGTTCCAAAATCAACACTACATCCAAATATCCACTATATCAATATTGTTCCAAACTTATATCAAAAGTGAACATATTTCACCTCTTTTATAGAAATAATATCATAGTCAAAAGATCTGTGCTTCAAAGACATGACAATTCATCATTCTGTATAGTCTGAAAAAGCAAGAGTCATATTCAAGACTTTATGTATGTATATCAATACATACACTTGGGTAAATGTGCATATGCAGGAAATAATATATTATAGGTAGCAATAAGTTGAAATGATTACAGACATGTTAATGCTACATATACAGCTCCTGACATCTGGAGATCTTTCAAACACTGACATATTTAAGCTATTGTAATTTGTCCTTAAACCCATAATATTATATTAAATTATATATTTAATATTAAATATGTACAAAATATATATTTCAAAAAAATTCTTTAGCTTAAATTACTTCATTGAAATTTTAAAAATCCACTACAGAAATGATCAAAATGAAAAATATCTCTTTAATAAAAAACTCTGTTTCACATTCACCCTATACCATACACTTAATTTCTTACATTTTTCATCTTAAAGAGGTCATTTTTGCTCAAGTTTGAGGACTCTTTATTTCAACATGGCTCATAAGTCTGGTAACTCTGCAGAAAGATACTTCATAAAAGCAATCGTACGCTGGATTTCACAGGCCTTTCACTGTGATATACAAAGTCAGATTTTTCTGAAAGAGAGAAACCTAAGCTGCAAAGTTCTGTCACAGTGACTCTCTACGAAGAGATTAAATAGCAAATCTGCCCAGGGTTCAAAGACTTACTGACCGCCAAACTCCGTACATTCAGTTAGTCCCAGCCAGGTCATCTTATACGCAAGATCACTACAAAAATAAAGCCCCCTGCTTCCCTGGTCACATAGACTCTGAACTGTGTTACTCTAGAGAAAATATCCTAGGAAGAAACAATCCCTCAAGCCCCCAAACACTGTTTAACTTTGCTGTAAGTTATATAAATACATTGCACTTCACAAAGCATGGAAGCAGACACTTTCCCTTGGGAAGCTCCACATAAACTGATAACTGTGTTTGCTGCTCACACCCTACTTCAGGACAAGCCTTAAAGCTAACCCATGTGCTGGACAGCTTAATCATTTCCTTCACATCCCAAACCCCAAAGTGACGGAACAGAGTCCAGATGGCATATGAGACATATTAAAGAATAAACACTGTGCCTAGCTCTCACATAGCACATTTCATTTTCCAGCCCTGCTGCAGGTTATAGAGTGCATCAGCATCTTTATGGGGAGCTTTGGTAAACAAAAGATGAGGGAGCAAAGAGGACCTGACCTTGAGAGAACAGTGTCAGAGGCAGGAATGGAAGCTCAGGCTGCCTCCCTCATTCTGCACCCTCCTGGCTCCCAGGCATGAGTCACTCATTAGCTGTGAAGCCTCAGGATACCCCAAGTGGGACCAAAGAGAAAGACGTTATTGCTTTCTTTTTATTATGTGTGTATTTTAATCAAATCCTTCGTGGACAGCCACTTCGGATGCAGCTTTTGCACTAAAAACACTGGATTAGCATCCGTTTAAATGTGAAACTTGTTCCTTCTACTCAAATAACTCAGCATTGTCTCCAGCCTAAAGAAATAAAGCTTTGGGGATGAAGCGTATGCATTCATTCCAGTGGGAAGTTGCTTCCAAAAAACTTCTGATTGTTTGAACACAGAAGACTTGTCACAAGCAGTTACATCCTAAGCTGAAGAGTAAGTTTTGCAACCTAGTACTAAAATCAGGCTCTCTTGTGGCTGGGTATATGTTTAGCTGCAGGCATCATTCTGTGAATGCAGTTTCCAATTCTGTACTCAATGTAAGGCAGCCTTAATGGAAGAGCCATTTGCTAAGTTAAAAATAAGTAAATCACAATTCACATTAGCTTCTCAGTCAAGACAGAGAATCCAACCATTAGCTAGACACAAATAGATCTAAACTTTAGGGATTTATTCTTTTTCTAATTTAGATAGTTTGAATATTGCAAACACTTGAGACTCCTTCCCTAAGGATTGTCCTTAACTTTTGGAAAAAAAAAAAAAAAAAAGATAATTAGTATCTTGTGATTTCAAAATGGTCACCTACTCTCATAGGTTCCTGCCCCAGCTTCCATAGAGCCCAGAGCAGTCCCAGGTACCTGCCCTCCACAACAGGGCTGTTTTTATTTAGAGATTAGAATTAATGATCTATAAAAAAGTGTTGCCTCAAAACTCAGAAATAGAAAGAATATAGAAGTTCAGAGCAGGGTTCAAGTATGATACCTTACTAAAACAAACACAGCAAACAAAGTCGGGGTTTAAATAGCTAGCTGTAAAAGTCAATTACAAGATGAACACTGATCATTATTTTAAATACAGTAGATCACTTCAGAATAAAAGGATCTGCAGCATTACTAGAATAATCCAGAAAAAAAATCCTTCAATCTCTTAAGACTCAAAACGGCTCATGGGGGTAGGCCTTACCCCTCTTTGCAGGCTCCTCCCTAACAGCATCCCTCAGGACACAGCACTTCAGGCTTACCACCTGAAACCACAGCTGCCCTTCAGCAGTAGAAGACAATTTAAATTAGTATTGAAATGGGACTTTTACTTATGTGAATAAAGGTTCTATTTGAAAGAAACAAATACCTTGTACCTCTCTGGAAATAAATAGAAATTGGTAATGCAAATCATTTTTGATAATTATGTTATTAATCGCACAGCAATGCGAGAGTGCCCTTTTCCCAGGGATACATTATTTCTGACTAATGTTGTTGATCTCCTTTCGTTCACTATTCTGCGTCAGCTGAAGTAGAGCACGTACCCAGAGCTCTTCAATCAACGCTTGAACAGTATTACAGTACAAGTATTTTACTGTTCTGTCAACATTTTCTGAGGATCTCTTCAACTACCGTACTGATGTGCCCGTCTGCTTTCCCAGACCAGACACACCAAACTTGAGAATCACACTCTGATGAACAACAGCCTGTACCCCAGGTCTGTCTGCAAGAGGTGTGAATCCTTCCAACCTCTAATCAAATACTCTGTACACTGCATGTGTAATAGAGCTTTTTCATGATTTTGCAGGAATAACCCAAGTAAATGGGACAGAGCCACCAAACTTTAAAGCTCTGCCTTGGAAATATGAAACATCACGCAGCAAAGTGGTATTCATACAGCTGATGTCAGCCCCAATTTAACAAACTTGCACACAAAGCCATTCCACTCCTCACCAAAAATTCAAATCTTCTCTGAACTCATTTTTACTTCATTTTTTAAACAAAGCACAGCCCATTCAGCAACACATTCAGGAATTAATCAGTATGAGTCAGGAATAGTTTCATATATTCAAGGGATGCATAAAAGCTAAATTGATGAATTGGCAGAAGAAGCTGCAAGACTGAAAGAGAAGTGACTGTGAAAAATATTTAAGAATTGCAGATCAAGTGGTAAAATTATGGGACAGAGTAAATTAATAAAAAATGTATAACAGATTCATAGAGGAGGCAATAAAGATTTACTGTGAGCATGAAATGGAAGTACCTTGAACCACATTGTTCGAGGTGATAAATGGGATATGGATGAATCTGGAGACAGTGAAGGAAGTAAAAAGAAAAAAAAAAAAATCTCTAAACAGGATTCAAGGGAGATGACAATTAGGCTTTGGAGAGCACAATGTAAAGTCAGTGACAAAAAAAAAAAAGTCAAAAAAAGTCAAGACAGAGAACACAAGCAATAACAGTGGAGGTGGATGCCTATATATTTGAATCTCTGATGACTTTACTCATTTATTTGATTGAACAGAAATAATCAACTAGTAAAGAATTTACAATTAAATACAAGCAAAATATGTGATAGTCTGTGAAGGTGCAAGTTACAATGGCTTTTTTGCTTCTTTTTTTAAAGCCTAAGAAGCACAGGGAAATTACAAACTTTGGAAAATTGGGTAAAACAAATTTGACGGAAAACATCTAGTTGCCACCTCCTGGGGAAATATAAACACATATGGACACAGACATTCCTAAAGTACAGGTTTAAATCCTGAAGTAAAGGATTTTCTATGGTTGAGATTTATCATTAGTCAAATATGGCTTTGCGTTGAGCGGGGAAGGAGACACTAAGAACATGGAAGCAAGAAACAGCAATTTCACCCTAGTCTACTTTTTTCAAACTTTGTTTTAAGTTGACACAAAGAAGGGAAAAAAAACAGCTTTTATTACCAAAAGATAACAAACGCTGTTGAGAAGTAAATGAGACATGTCGATTGCTTTATTTGTGTAGGGTGAGAAACTCAGCAGACTGATGGAATAAGAGTCTGCCAATCCTTCATGAAATCTTTTTTGTTTTATAGTATTTTTGTTTTGCACTTTTGACTATTTGACTTGCTTGTTACCTCAACCCACTGCCAATTTGGAACAAATGTCTCCTGCGAAGTCAGATGATCCATACTGAGATCAGAAGTACTAATTTTACTCTTACTTGAAATTTTTATAGTCTCAAAATGTTAACGTTTGGATTCAAACAGAGCTCTCCAGTTTTTTATTATGTTTTTGGTGGGTAAGGGGGGAAAGCAGTGGAGCAGTGGGATGAAAGGAAGTTATTGAAGGAAATAACAAAATGTTTGGAGAGACCAAGTAAGCAACTTCAGATAATAGTTTTCCAACACACTTACCGTCCAAAGAACTTCACAATTGGGGTGACAATGATGGCACCCACAAGACCACCAATGGCAAAAACAGAGACAGTTATAGACCAGAGGAGTGTCAGTGTGTTTTCCTCCATCGAGAAGCCGTATCTTCTTTGCCAAGTTTCATTGTAAAAACTCTTGATATACTGCAAACAAATATACAATAACACTTGTAAAAATAAATAAAAGCACTCTTTAAGAACACGATAAAAATAACACAAGAGGCAGTAGCCGCTTGCGGAAACGGCGGTCCTGACACTTGCTCCAAAAGGCAGAGCCTCACCTCTAGATGCAACTGCAAAACAGTTGACCTCTGGCCAAAGCACACACTTTTAAACATCAGCCAGTCAAAAACAGGGCGGACAAGAATGCCATAGGTAGACAGGAAAGCAGAAGAAACTTGTAAAAGACAGACTCCTATAAAGTAGGGGCAATACAATTCCTTTTTTTCAGCACAACATTCATGACAGCAGTGGCAGCCCTCCCATGAATACAAATGCAAACACCACAGCCTGAACACAGGCTAAAGCACATGACCAAGTCACTCGAGCTCAACAAATCCCTGCATCCCAGCTGCACTGTCCAGCCACGCACATGGTTAGACATCCTAGATTAATACTTTTTGTGGAAAGCTGCACTTTGCTGGGGAGAGGGAAAAATGGCTTAAACTGCATACCAGGCAGAAACTGGTGGCCCCAAGGTAAAGAAGGAGGGAGCTTATAGGAGGGAGCATCAAAAGTCATTAATTAAGGTATTTGAGAGAAGTTTAAAAGGAAGACTATCCCCAGGTATTTGTATGGGCACTTTCCACAATACAAGTAATATCCTTTGGTATCTCCTCTCTCTTCAACCTGCCCACTCCAGGTTCACTCCTCCATGCAAAAGGACCTTCCAAACCCCATCCTGCTGGGGCTACCCAATGGGAAAAGGGAGCCAAGCCCAAAGACAGCAGTAGAACATTGCTGTCATATTCAAATCTCAAAACTGCAATGACTCACAGATATATACAGGTAATAAAAGTATTTATAAGCATCCAGGAAAATAACTTATTTCTATTTTATACTTCAGTCCGGCTCTCAAATCCATTTGAAAATAAGCATCTTTTACTAGTCTGTATTTTTCAAAGGGAAAGGACTTTAAGAGTATAGCTAGTTCTTTAGTTTAAATATCAAGTGAATTGAAAACAGTTGGAGTTCATGTTCTGGAGGAAGAATGGAGGTTATGTCTATCCTTGAGTGGTATTTATGATACCGCAGCACCTGGCTGCCATACAAAAACTAGTCCCTACTAAGCCAAGCAATAAAAGATAAAATTGTGCCTTAAATTATTTACAACCAAAAAAAAAATCTATTACAGGAGGCAAGAAGAAAGAGCTTATAGCTGCTGTTTTGGTATGAATTGGGAAGCAGGAAAAAAAAATAGAAAAAGAAAAGGAAAAGACCCACAGCATCAGTTCAGGGGAGCTGGCTTTGGCATCCTGTTAAAGCTAAGAATCACAAGTTACTTCTATAAATAAGTTAAAACTTCTCCCCTTCAAATTTACATGAGTTTCATTTCATGAAGTTCAGGCTGCTAAACAAGGCAATCAGTTTCTTTCCCAGTGGTGAAAGATATATTAAACAAGAAATCAGACATCCAACATCCAGATGTGAGTTCTACAAAACAAGCTCCCTCTCAAGAAATGAAAACTTGAGATTAGGCTTTTCCCATTTTCTAATTCTTCAACTATTCCAAGACCTATGCTTTTTTCCTCATGGTGGCTTCATGTCCCTAAAAGCCCTCAGTAAGTGTTCTTCCAGAGCATCCTAGGAAAGTACAGGAGCCTCCTGAATTTTTGAGGAACTCCAATATATTCTTGTGGCATGAAGATTCTCTGTCACAAAAGTCAGCAAACAAAAAAAAATTTTTAATATATTATCCACTTCAATTCCTCCACAACTGAGACTATTTAAAAGAAGCTGAAGTGTGACATGTGGCCTCTACAGTAAGTTATTTTATCAGTCTTGAAAAAATATAAAAGTATTTTGGTCAGAAAATCCTGTGAAGCACATTTTTAAGAGAAAAAAACAGTCAACTTGGTGCTTGGTCTATTTAAAAGAACTCCACAGTAAAGTTTCAAAGGAATCTACCACTAAATCAAGTAACACATCCTCTTTTATACCAATACTCAGATTAAATTTAGATCACAGAATCATAGAATCCTTTAGGTTGGAAGGGGCCTTTAGAGATCATTTAGTCCAATCCCTCTGCGCACACAGAGTTGTCTAGAGCATGTGGCACAGGATGGCATCCAAGCGAGTTTTGAAGATCTCCAGAGAAGGAGACTCCACAACTTCTCTTGGCAACCTCTTCCAGTGCTCTATCACCCTCACTGTTCAGAAATCTTTCGTTAAGTTCCTGCGAAACTAGTGGTGCTGATAAACATGCTGATATCGCCCACAAATGGAAACTTATTAACACAAAGGTTTTGAGGTGTTGCACCTGAAAATAAAAATATAAAGTCCAATACTGAATTTTTGTGAAACTGTTTGGAATTTCCATTAGTTGTCTGAATAGAAATAAAATAATAATAAAATAAAATAATAATAAAAGGAAAAGAAAAGCCTTTTTTTTTTTCAAAAGTCTTATCTTTTAACCAAAATCTATAAGGAACTTTAGCTGACTGGTATTGGTATCTCATATTCTGTTCATTAACATAGCAGTGTGAGAGATGGAGACACAAGGGAGCTTTTCTTAGCTCTCTAAGTCATTTGCATCAAGGGAGAGGGGAACCTGTCTTTAGAGAAGAAAAATGACCTTGAGCTTGACCTGGAGTTACAAGCGCCACTCGCACACACTGATGATTGCCCAACTGCCTTCGTCAGCTACCCATCCCTGCAGCCGTGTTCCCAGAATCAAGTCTTCAAGGAATGCAGAAATGCAAACTCAAGCAGGAAGAGAGCAGTAACTGTGTAGCAACAAGCACCAGAGATTTCTCTTCCTGTACAAGGAACAAAGCGGATCCTGGTACTGTTGTTCTGCATACCCTGCTGAGCGTGGCCCATAGAATGAACTTTAAAAATGCAGCTCAGAAAAAGGTAACTTATATGCGCTCAAATTCATATTCACTCAAAATATTTTGCTTCCAAAGGTTCCCATATGTGTTTAATAAATTCTGATAGCACCTCACACTTAGCACACTTCACACTTAGCATACTTCACACTCGGTAGTTTTATAGACTATAAGTCTATAAAACTAACCAGCCAAAGGAACCTGCTAATTCTGGATTTCTCATATGATGGAGCACGGCACACATGTATGATCGGCCATTGCTCTTTCTCCCAAGAGGATAAGGGATAGATAAGGGCTGGAATGGGAAAGAATCCCTTTCCCCAACCCTGCGCCAGTTGGCAGAGCCAGGGCAGCTCCGCGCAGATCTCATGCTGTTTATTTCTCCCTGGCAAACAGGCAGAGCTTTGTCTGACACTCACTTCTCTGACGAAGTGACTGACACTAAGGAGAACACGGAGAGCTGCACGGGACTTCCCCCTTGCTTCAGGAGCCAGCACAGCCCCAAGCATAGAAAGGAATCGACCTCAGGAATTTCCAAATGCCATTCTTCAGAGTTTCACTCATAAACACACTTCTCCCACTGTAGCTTTGTGATAATGCTGAGGTTTTCACTTCCAGTATCCTGGAAACAGCCCACATTTGAGTCAACAGCCCCTACCAAACACTTTTTAAATTCCTCTCCTAGTCCCATACAGGGTCTCCTCTAAGGAGGAACTTAGTATTAGTGTAGGAACCTAGGAACTGGCAGGAACTTAGCTGAAGTACCAGGAGCAGAAGACATCCAGCACCCTGCACAGAGATACTCAGCACTACCAGTGCAGGCAGCATGTTGCACGTGACCACAAGTCAGTTCAAGTTAGTTGCCCAGCCAAGTTTCTTACTCCATCAGCCTACCACTTTTGGTAAATACTATATTTTCAATAGAGACAACACCTTTATAAAAGCTTATCTGCTTCTAAAATCAGCCCCTTTATGATCTTCCCTATGTCATTGCTGTTCCCAGACAATTATCTTGCAGCAGACATGGGACATTAACACAAACAGGGAAGACGATAAAAACCACTGCAGCAACTCACTAGACACATACCTGTCAATGATATGACCAAGGCCATCAATATAGCAACCAACTGCAGTACAAGAAAGGCTTCAAGTAAAAATGGAAAATGTTGGAAATATAACTAACCAGCATGCACAGAATTTTGCATTAAATGTTAAATTGCTATATGGCTTCACCTTTGACCTCCTCACTTGCACTTTTACTGCCACGATAATCACTATATGATTCACATCTAACCACCCACATGTTGCCAAGCAGCATTTCCTTTCATCCCTTCTCTTTTACTCCCGCAGAAAACAGCAGGAGAGCTCTGATTCCCAGGACAGTCCATTAAAAAAAGAGACCACTCTCACTGCCATAATGACAGCACTGACTTGGTGGAGGAAGGACACATACCACCAGTACCATCAATACATTTGATCTCAAAAATTCACTTCCTTCTAGTCCATGTTTATCTCCTGATGACTGCAGAGTGGAGTGATGCATAGGAACTGTCATACTATATTAGATAAACATCCAATCTGTCAGCGCTGTCTTTTCATTACCAAAGGAACTGAACATCAAGAAAATTCCCAGAACTACTAAGTACGTAATTATAACTTCCTTCAGGGCAGGTCCATTCATAATCCTCCCACCTGTCAATTTATCAAACACAATACATATATTAGTTGCAGTAAATAGTACTTGGAACACACTGAGGTAGAAGCCATCACTTCGGAGAAAGGCTGTTAGATGTTTATTATCTTGAAATACCCAAAACACAACAGGAATCCCAGGAACTTTGCCAGGAAGCAACCAGGCTGTTCCAGGTATCACAGAGCCTGGTGAGGTTTGGGGAAGGAGGGAGTTAAGGCAAATTAGTAGGTTGCGATATGGGGTACAGAGTACTTGTAAACATACTACTGATAACAAGGGAATAAATCTTTAGTATGCAGATAACAAGGAATGGAGTAATTTTCAGGAATACAGAAGTCCAAATGGATGCCCGTATGGCATAATTCTAAGAGTTGCAATCTGCCTTATGGATTCTGCAAAACAAGTGCTTGACTGCTGGAATTCTGACCAGGCAGCAAGCTCCTGCGTCCCCACCAAACCTCCACTGCTTACCCACTACAATACACGAAATATTTTTTTAATAAAATAAACTTCATTCATTTTGTGCATAATTATTTTATCCATTTTTAAGGTGGCCAAGGCATTCAGGTGGAAGTCTAGCCACATATTTTAATAAATGATGTCAATAAAAGAAGGAGCCAAAAAGATTTTTTTTTTTTATTTGAAAAGAATATTTTTTGAAATAGAATTTTAAGTGAGGTGTCAATAAAATGAATTACTTAAAAAAAAAAAGTATTGCTTGCAATTTCATTGCACTGCTTACTTGCATTGCACTTGGTTGAATTATGATGCTCTCTGGATGGCCAATGTGATCGCAAAACTTTCAGACTTGAAAGTTTTGAAAGCGAATCAATGAAAGCCAAGTAGTGCAGACTGATCTGGCAACACTCTGTTCCTCAGCCACTTTCCACGTGTCGCACCCAGCAGACGCTCAGTGCAGCAGCTTCACATGCACAACGAGACGAGGCATCCCCACGTAATGCAGAAGGGGAGGCTCACTGCTTAAGAGGAAGCCAGAGACATTATTTATAGTCCCTGGAGTGCAGGCATGAAGTGTTGTGCAACCCTCTGGTGCAGAGCAGTTTGGACAAGAGCTGCTGAATACGAGCACAGCCACTGAATATTCAGCAGTCAGATAGACATAGAAATACCTATGACACAAGAAGTATATAAGAAGATTTAGCATTAGTCTGGGCTCCAGGAGAGCAAAAAGGAGACACCGTGCACTCTTTCGGCTCAAAAGCAGCCTTTTAATCTCTTGTCAGATACTGAACTTATCTTAAAGCCCCGTAAGCAGCAGAAAGAACGCTTCCAACAAACAAAAGTTACAACAATTCAACCTCTCCTAGCACATTAAGAGGATTATATGGCAGAACGCTGCCCTCTACTGATGTTAAATTCCCGCTGTATCAGTCAGCACCGTCACTTACCACCGCAGGAGCGTTCACCACAGAGAGGTTGTAACCGTACAGAAAGGACGACCCAAAAGCACCAACTAGGGAGGCTACAATAAGACTGCCAGACCAATCCTGAAAAACATTGAAAAAAGATATAGCAATAGTTAGCATACTCTAAAACAACATACTATGAGTTTTAAAAGCTCCTTAAATTAACTTGCATAGCTCCTGCAGACAGATCCATCTCCTTGCTGAAGGATATAGGCTGAAACACTGTTTCTGCAAGTCAAGGAATAGGAAATTTCGAGTGACAGTCTCTTAATAAATATTCAGACGATAAAGGCATCAGAGAATATTTAAACTTCTTTTGATGTTACAGATTTCTGCTGCAAGTATCCCACAGTGCAAAGTAAAACGTTATAAAAGCACAGGCTTGCCAAAGAAAACTATTTGGCAACACAGTCACTAAAATGAATCAAGCAGTGACATGTGCTTGATGCAACAGGTTTCTGGGTAAAGTTTATTTAGGAGGAAACCAGTAGGACTGAATGCTCCCCAGTTTTATAAGCAGCACAGAAATCAAATATTTGTGACTAATAAATACATAAAATGATGTCTACAAGCTAGGTTTTGAAACCCAAATATAGATGTCTAACAGGAATTTGCAGCCACACAGTGTGGTGGAGATGCATTTGTCTTTTCCCCACACTGACACACCAGTAACCCTTGAATCAGCCTTTTCAGCTCTCCTCTCCTGCTACCCTACTTTGTTCTCCTCCTTTCTAGGATTTTTTGTTGTTGTTGAAATTGCTTAGATACTGCAGTTATAGCCAGCTGATTTGAAAAATTCTAGATTTCAGGATCATTTCTGTCCTCTCCAAGAAAACTTCTCACAACCCCGTTCTCCCACAGGATTAGAGGAAGCCGCAGAACAGACCAACACCATTTCCCAGCTCCAATATCTCCCAGGAATTCTGCAGTGGTTTTGTGGTTGGTTGGCTGTTGATGCTCTTTTGTAGATTTCAGAAGCCTTTCTTGACACCAGGGTACGTTACCATTGTGACTTTACTGTACACTTCTCTACCATTTTATGCCCCATTCCCCACTGAAGCCAGTGGGGAGACCAAGCACTCCCAGGCTCTTGGCACATGCCAGCATCCATGCAGGAACACTGTCACTGCTGGCTCGTGGGTTCACAGAGAAGTCAAGAGGGCTCACAAATACCCCCTGCACAACAGCTTAGTGTTCTTAACTTCTTCCACATGCTGTGGTCACTTTTTAAGAGATTATACAGTTCATTAGCCACCCTACTTCCAGGCAGGTCAAGAGGAATTTATACAGAGAGGGAAGCTTTATGTAGGAAATATATCCCACAGAGATCATCGCCTAAGCCAAATACAATTTCTTGTTATTAGTCAGCTTCTTAAAATGAGCCTGCCACACAGAGAAAGTACCACACTGTTACTTTGCTGATGAAGAACAGGAACATTGACACCAACCACTAGGCTTTAGCTTTTCCATGAGGAACATCTTGCACTGGGTGCTCTATGATGATAGCTCATCAGCCTCCAACTATGAAGCTCCCGGCACCTACAGGATTTACTGGTACTCTGAACTAATGACACTGAGCTGCTCTTCCAACACCTGGAGCTCTCCCGAAGCATTCCCAAAGGTTTGCTGAGAGCAAGCACAGAGATGCTGTGCAGCAGCATCTCTAAAGGGGTACTAGCCCCCAAAGCCAGTAACCTTAGGGGAAATAAATAAATAAATTTGGGCACATCATCTAGTGTTTATTTAAAACTTCAGCGAACACTTGCATCTTTCACCATTGGTACATGGCATGCACACGGGTTAACAGTGCAGTGAAAAACTGAAAAAGTGCTATCAAATTAGAAGATCCCGCACCTACTTTACCTTCAAGTGCTACAGGTAGCACATTTTGGAGTCACTTTAATCATAAGAACTTTTCAAGTGTACAGTCTACTGAAGAAAGCTCCACAAAAGCACAAGTTTTCTTGATTCAAAGTTCTACCGTGCACCACCTTCAGCTTTTCCATGACCTGTCCTCACGCACCACTTTAAATATTTGCTCAAGTTTGAGCAACACCAGATAAGAGACAAAAGCACAATGAAGCAAGAACTTCAGGGAGAAAAAAAAGAAAAAAAAGCCTCAAGTTGCTGTTCTGAAAAATATTCTCTGTGGTAACCAAAAAAAAAAAAAAAAAAAAAAAAAAAAAAAAAAATCTGTTTTAGAGTGACTAGGGGAAGAAGACGGAAAAAAAAAATATAGCCACACCTCCCGCTAAGGTGTTCCCTTATTTTAATGTCAGTAGTTGGCTCAGTTGTTGCTGCTGGCAGAGCGCAGGCAGGTGGGTGTGACTGTCGCCACAGCAATAACTATCCTTTAAGGAAACTTGTAAGCCAGTTCGGACAAAGACCTCCGGATACCTGACAACTCCTTGCCTGTGAAAGTCCATGTTTCTTTGGTTTTATGACGGCTCTCAGGGCATAGCGCTCCGATAGCTTGCAGAAATGCTTTTCCCTGTTTCCCTTTTTTCGGTCAGCATGCAACATAACATTTATGTTACCTAGCACGACTTTTAAGTTATCTTTTCAATAAGGAAAAAAAAAAAAAAGTGTCGAGTTGCATTTCAGCCCTTAAAACACCTTTCAGAGGAACGTACTTCAGATTAGTTGTTTAAAGTACAGTGTCCGGTTTCAAATTAAGCAAAACTGCCAAACCTGCCCGGGTCGGTGCTGGGAGCCCTGTGCTCTGACCGGGACACCGCTGCAGCCGCCTCCCCTCGCTCCGGGAGCGCTCCGGTCACCGCGGGAGCGCCCCGGTCACCGCGGGGCTCCTTCGGGCGCTGCTCCCGGGGCAGGACGGGGGGAAGCTCCGCGCCGTCCTCCGCGTGCCCAGGGTGGAGGAAACTCCGCGCCGTCCTCCGCGCGCCCTCCGCGCCATTTGCGCTTTTATTTTTAGCCCCGCCAGCACCGAAGGGGCGAGCGCTGCCCGCCCTGCCGGGACCGCCCGCAGCGCCCCCGGGGCCGCAGAGCCCCCCGACCCGCGTAACTCCCGCGGCCCCCTCGCCCTCCCGCCCGGCCCCGGGCCGCTACTCACGTTGCCGCCCGCCCGGCGCCCCCCCGGCAGCAGCGGCGGCCCCGGTGCCCGCTCCATGGCGCAGGCGTGCGGCGGGGCGGGCATCGGCACCGGGAGCGGGCGGCGAGCGAGCTGCCGCTTAAAGTAACGCCCGTGTCCGCGGGCTGCGGGTGGCGCCCGTGTCACCGTGCGCGTGGACCGAGCGGGACAGCCGGGGTTCCCTCCCTGTGGGTGCCCCTGCAAACCCCACCCGACCTCCTTGAGGTAACTGCTAACTAGGGAGCAATGACTCTGCCCACAAATTGCCAAAGCTGGAAGCAGAAGAGAGTGCAAGACCTCTAGGCATCCCCAAACCCACATCCAATGATCGTGTTAGCCACAGGGCATGTAGATGTTTCCTCTGCCTCAGGAGGTTGAGGTTTGACATACTTTCCCGTAACAGGTTGGGTTTGGCACCTGTGAAAGATAAAGCTTTCAGCTGTTACCTCTGGAGGTGCCTGTTTGCAAATGTGGGAATTCTGAATTGATAAGAGTTTCCCTTTCTGGTCAACAGTGACTCAGGGGAATATTGAGTGTGTTTGTCTGCAGTTGGTGTTGGTGTAAATCTGCTCTTTCTGCCTCTGCCGTAGGCTCCGAACCTGCCTGCTGCCTGAGAGCTCTCAGACACACAGAGTGATGCCACCGAGCGTGGCAAGCTCCAGGATGCAGAAAGTTTGAAGTGTCCTGGGCCTGGAGCAAGTCAAGCTGGCTTGGCTTGGGAGCCAAGCTTGGGAGCTCCAAGTATGAATTAGAAAGACAGATGCTGCTCAATGCAATTAGTGTACATAGTGAGAAATATCAGCATAGATACAGTATGTGGTCACCATCTATAATCCCTTTAAGTGGCCATCAGTAATGGAAGAGTCAAGTTAGGAAAAAAAAATCAAGCTCTGGGGTGTATTTGAGGGGGAAGAATGAGAGACCTCTGCTTTATGTGGTTCAATTTTAAATAAGCAACGTGCAAGTAGTTCACACTCAGATACAAATCATATGGCTTTGTATGATTACGGCATACCTGTAATGTAATGATTTGTAATGTAATGAATTAATGTATGCTTAAGGTGTTTCTCACCTAAGCACTCATGCTTTCGACTTTTTATGATCACAGACTACAGGAAGAGTTGCAGATAGTTAAAATGTGCTACTCTATACACCTCTCAAATATGAATCCTGGCAGCTCTCCCTTACTCAAGTCTCCCTGTTCCAGCTCACTCTCCTCGTACATGTCAGAGTGGGCAGTGGGTGGGGAAGAAAATATTCAGCTTTGCAAGTTCTTGTGGAACAATGGCACCAGGCACAAAGATGAGAGAGAAACGAAGCAGGGCTTCCTTTAGAAGGCATAAAAATCCTTGTCCAGAAGGTTTTATCCCTGACCTCAGCAATAGACTGTCTCCCATAAAAGGGAGGCTTTAAATCATGCCACAGTCACTTCATCCCAGCATACTTTGCCTGCAGGCAGTAGGTTTTTGGGTAGTTCAAAATCTGACATGCATATAGAGAGAAACATAGAAGGAGCTTAGAGACCTGTGGCGCAGACACGCAGCAAGACTATCAACAGCTCAAGTACCAAAAGGAGAAAGTAATATCAGTATTCCCGTGTTTATAAAGTCAGATATTAAACTGGTGTCGCTGTTATTCATTTAGGTTACAGATAGTTATTTTATGTCTCTAAATAGAAAGAAATGGCAATTTTCTTCCCAAATGGCAAATAAATGTGTTGACACAAAATTTGGGGAATTCACTCACCAATTTTTTCTTCACCACCTTATTTTCTTTCATCTCACCGTTGCTTTTCTGATTGTTCTCCATTCTGTCACCTTGTTAGTCAATAGCTGTGGAGGAAAAGAGGGAAACTTGTGGCATTTTGCTGATTTTTTTTTTCCTTTAATAAAAGAGTAAACTTGACCTAAGAAAAATTTGAAAAAGCCTGTGAAGAATTACATTCTTCACTAAAGCACAGGAAGCTCCATCTCCATATGAGGAGGAACTTCTTTACTGTGAGAGTGACAGAGCCCTGGCACAGGCTGCCCAGGGAGGCTGTGGAGTCTCCTTCTTGGAGGTCTTCAAAACCTGCCTGGATGCGGCCTGCGCCACATGCTCTAGATGACCCTGCTGGAGCAGGGGGGTTGGACTAGATGGTCTCTAGAAGTCCTTTCCAACCTCAACTATTCTGTGCTTCTGTGTGCTTCAAAAGTCTGAAGCTCATCCAGGAAGGCGTCCTTATTCACTGCAGAAGCAAACTGAAAAAATCAAAAGCAACCAAGAAAACACATTCTAGACATGGCCCTCCAAAGAGGGCTACGTGCCTTTTGGAGCAGGCATAGTAGTTCCTAGCACAGTGCAAAGCAGCGAATCAAGCAAATAAACTATGGTGTCAGGCCGTTGGATGAACATGCTTTGTTGCAATGGGATAAAGTCCTGAAATGGTAATGATAGATTCAATTTCAAACACAAGACATCTTATAGATTAGAGTCTAAAAGATAGTTAGGTATGGCAAATATGGATCATCTTGTCAACAAGAAAGTTGGGTTGGAAATCCTTTAGAGGCTAAGATACCCACAGCAGGTGTTTCTAAGAAGAAATCCTTTCTCACAGAAGAACTGACATTGGCAGTAACTGGGTCATCTCTTCAAACAGTGTCAAGACCTCAAGTTGAACGTTAGAAAAGCAGAAACTAGAGAGATGAAAGCACCCTACAGGCACCAAAATTAGAAAAATATCCATCCTCCCCCTCTGCCTCCCAGTAAAATCAATACTGATAACTTGCAAACAATTTCTTTCCCTCTGCTGCAAAGGGCTTCAGTGAATTCTTGCTAAACTGCTCTTCAGAAAGGGCCTTCAAGGTAAAAATTCCACTTTATCAGAGATTTTAGCAGAGGGACATCCACAGTCCCTCTGCTGTCCCTCAGCACATTTAACAAATTTGTCAAAATTAATCAATCGTACCAGCTCATTGTGGCACCCATGTGCTAGGCAGTATTCAGGCAAATAATTTGATTAGTGAAATGTTACATATTTGGCAGATCAAACTGCAACTTAAGAGTTTACAGGACAAACAGTGTATGGGGTGTAGCATTGAAATGGAAAGAGCAGAGTCTCAGTAAGAAACAAGGCTTTTAAAGAGCAAAAAAACAACCTCAGAGCAAAGCCACTAAAGCCACTTGCAAGGACAATTTGTATCATCTCCCTGCTCTCACCACATATTTTCTTTTTAAAGAGATGACTCTTCCTCTTGTTCTCTGAGTAGTCTTTAAAACTCATCATAATCTTTTTTTTTTTTTTTTGGATGTGGGGTGTGGGTTTAATAGTCGATAGTGCTCACTTGCAAACTGTGTCTCCCATGTTTCAGTTAAATGTAGATTTGTAGCTTTTTAAATCCACATTACTATCTCCAAAAATGAAATGCTGCTACATGTGGGACAGACGTCTTGTGTGTGTCGAATACAAGAATTCCGGTCCAAGGAGGGAGTATAAATGACTGAAATCTTGCATGGATTAATCAATGTTACTTATGCAATCGAACTGAGAAGGGGAGGGGGGAGACACTTAGAGGCTTGGAGCAAGGTGTTCCAATTGCTTGCCAAAGTCTGCAGAAGGAACATTTCACTTAGGGCAGTGCAAGTCTGAGACAGCCACTGTTGCTGCTGCTGGCCCTTTGCTGAAATGGGGAAAGAAGTGTGAGAGACTGGGGAGAAAGTGAGGTTCTTGTTGCTAGTATCGGGGAAGCTGCTTATGCTGTGGACTCAAAAGTGTAAGATTCATTATTTATTCTTTATCATGGGACATGACGCCCATCCACGGCCTAACTTACAAGTTAATCAAAAGGCAACCACAAAGGAAGACAGGGTCTTGTAAGTCAAGCCAGAGGCACCTTCCAATTAAACTTTGCAAACTAAAAGTTTGCTTACCTACTCAAGTTCATCTAACTGCACATAGGTTAATTAGTGGGAAAGTAATTTGGCCTTCCAGCCAGCTCCTGCAATTTGTTAGCCACAGCAAAGCAGAATGGGAGCATTATGCCTTGCAGCACAGACTGGACTAAGCAATGCGGAAATGTGCTGTAATCTAGTTGGGGTTTTGCACTTTTATGTGACTGTTGAATGACTACAAGATGTAGGAAAAATGAAAGCTATCAGAAAGCTATCTTGTTTACAAGGAGCAAATATTCAATGGAACAGTTTCAGAAGAACTCAGATTTTAAAAGTCATATTTGTTATATTAGATGTCAAATTTGCCCAGAGTATGATCACAAGGACTCACAGAAGCCAAGTATGGTTGAAGTTTGAAGGGACCTCTAGAGATCATCTAGTCCAACCCCCTTGCTCCAGCAGGGACACCCCGAGCACAAGGCACAGGGCGGCATCCAGGTGGGTTTGGAAGACCTCCAGAGAAGGAGACTCCACAACCTCTCCGGGGCAGCCTGTTCCAGCGCTCTGTCACCTTTTCCATAAAGGTATAGTTAAAGGCCACAGTTATTAAGAATTCCCCTAAAACTAAGAAGGGTAAAAAGTAGATGAAATAATTGAAATAGCACAACTATTTTTGTTGACAAACCTGAGCGTGAGGCCCTGCTTGGCCCTGTAGCCGGTTAGAGTCTACAGAGCCTATTTGCCCACTTGTCTGCGTGGGCCTGGCCTTGCATTGAGCAATCAGTTGCTCCTCCAAGAGCAATGGAGGCCATGTAAGTCGGCTTCAGGACATGTATTTGCAATTTGAAAGGTTCTAGGGACAAAAATTCCTCGCAATGGGCATACACATGTCCATCTCCAATGCACAAATGTATTATCTCTGTTAAAAGATGATGCCAGTGTCAACATGGCAGTAGTAGACACAGGGGAAATATGGAAATAGTCAAAAGAGTGGCTTCCAGCTGAAGAAATTCAATTGTAATTATAAACCAACACAGTCTCCCAGAGGTTGTAAAGGACCGCTTTGCAGTCCTCAGAGTAAACCTCTTTGAAGCACAGCATGTAGTATGATTGGGGGTATGACTGTTTTAAAGGGAGAAAAAAAAATAACCACAGGGAGACAACACCAGAATGATGTGTGAATTACGAAGTTTTGCAACAAATGTTACTGTAAAAACAACCCAGATAGACCTAGTAAGTCCTCCTGTGCCATAGCAGATGGATATATAATAATTAAATCTCACTTGACAAACATTTCTTTTTGGTAAAAATGCTTTTCCCTCCTCTCTCTACACCCTATCTCTGGTTTGAAAGGGCAAAATGATCCAACTTGAGTACTTTAGTTCCTTTTCCATCATACATGAAAGAGGTAGGCATTTCATAACACCTTTTTCATTTTAATTAAATCCTTATACTCTAGTAAAACTGGGTGGAGAAGAAAAGTTTTGAATCTTACTCTTGTTCTCAGTTTCTGTGCTTAAAGCTACTGTTGCTGCCTTCTTGCACTCAGCTGAAAGTCAAAATCCTCTTGGCTGGGCACTTGTGCCCTTCAGAAGGGGAGACAACCCCACAAGGAAAAGAACTTGAGCTCAGTACTTCCCTGTGCTTCCAGACAGATGCTGCTCTCAAAAGTCTGCAGAATGTACTTAAATGAAGGTGCTTCTGTGCCTGTACATGTACACTCTCACACAAATCTACCTTAGATTAATGAGAAGATTGGTTACTTAGAGCACCCATCTTGAAGATCATATGTAAAGTTTTTATGTCACCCAGATAAGGAATGCTTTATATTCTAGATCCTAAAAAATGACATAACTATCTGGTTAAAATAGATCTTCTTGAATTCCGTCATGAACTGAAAGGATTAATTTCTGCCCAGTACTTTTGTTAAACTAGGTGTATTCTAGTTCAAAGAAGACTCTGCAAGTCAACGCTTCCTACAGTGGTGGTGAGAAATGCCAAACTGTCCCCATATAGTAGTATTATTGTTGGGTTTAGGTATGGCAGGATCTTTGATGCAGATTCAAATTCTGGTGCCATTTAGTGTCCAGGAATGGTATCCTGCAACACCTCAACTTCCAGAAATACCTGTTCTCTTGAGTTATCTGTTGATATACTGTTGCAATATTTATATACCTCCTTTTTTTCCTCTATCTGCAACATTACTCCTAATGTATTTTTACAAGAAAATCAATATTTTATATTCCAATTTCAGTATTTCATACAGTTCACAATCTGATCTTTTCTATTGAGAAAGAGAAATATTCTATTTTAAAACAGAAAATTATTTTATGTAAACTGGAAAAAAACTAAAGCAATTTTTATTAGAAATTTATAAACAAGGATAAAAAGATTATCAGAGTTAAATACTCAGCTTCTTGCTAAACAGCTTTTATTTGATTAGCATGAGAAATTATTTGTTCACAGATACGGACTTCACAAAACTGGTTTACACTAAGATAAATCTTTCCCTCCTTCCCTGATTTGAACCCTTAAGGATGTTGCCAAGTTTGAGGAGTTGGTCCAAACTATCAACTGCAAATTCTAGGCATTACTCACCGCTTATCCAAAGTAGTCTTCGTTTTCAGTGTTATCTGAAGTTCATTGCAGTGCGGAAGCAAATTTAGGACTGGTACAGCTGCCCTCTTCTCTGAAATAGAGATGGCTAAATCACTGATTTATACTTAGAGCCAGTTTTAACTCTTTTATATGTTTTCAGGAGTAATTAATAATTAACTGTAATAGCTAATTATTGCAAGATGCTTCAGCCAGAATTCATGCCATATTTTTTTTTCTACCCAGTAGAAACAAACTGGCTTTATGATTAAAATAACATAAAATAAGTGTTTGTTTCAGTTGTTGCACAACTTGAAAAAGCTTTCCTTCCCACATTCAGATCAATAGACATTTGAAACGCAAGTGCCTAAGGCTAAGAATTACTTTCATATGCTCTCACCTGAATACAAGTGATCAAGTTCAACAACACCCACAGCATTCCATAATGATGTGTTGGGCCGCTACTCTTAAATATAAGATAAGGCATAGTATTTCTCAGGATTTATAATGTTTTGAAAGGTTGCAAGAAGACATACTGTACAGAAACAAAAATCACAGTAGCTCATAAAAAGATATTACTTGTCTGCTCTTCGGCATTGTGCCAGAGAGGAACTCCATATCAATATTAGCTTAACTGCTAAGGAAAACATGTGTCAGGATAAGGGTGTAGCAGTCCTGAACTTTGCATTTACTATCAGTTCCTTATATCCCAAAGCTAAATGAGGATAAGAGCATTTTAAGTATGAAAATATTCACTCCATTTTATTTTCTCTCTGCTGGTATACATACTGCTTACTCTGAGAATCGAGCATGTGTTGTTAGGCTCATCAGCATTTCCTCAAGGACCTTGGCAGTTAGTTTAAATGGATTGTCTGGATGCTTGTAGATATTAGCCCGTCCCGGATGCATTAGGTAGAGGCAGCTGTACAGAGGTCAGCTGGCAGAAATTTCAAATTTGGATTTTGGGTGGCACTTGTTTAGTATGCAGCATTTAGGTTATGATTGTTCCAACAGTTCCCGCAAACCACGCTCAAGCCTCAACTAAGCTGACAAAGGTGTGGACTTCTCATAAGATATTACCATCAAATCTGCTGCAGCTAAACATGAACATCCTTCTGCAGTTATAATATACTCATTAATAAAAAGATCATTTGGGGGAACAGGAAGGAACTCTTCATAAGATTACCTAGCATTTCACCTAAAAGTATTGCTAAAAATTATTTGTGACCAAGATCCTAGAATTAGCAGGACAGAGTCAAGTCTTCAATTTTTCCACCTTACTCTTCTGTAACACAAGCCTGATAGTGATTTTAACCTGTCCAGGAAGGAAGGAATAAGAAGATCTGTCTTCACACTCCAGAGAGAGAGAACAGATCGTGTCAAAAGAATCCCGTAACTTAGATTCAAGTGATGAGTGATACCAGGGCTACAAACATTTAATTTCCATCCTAATATAAAGGTAATATATAAACAATCTCTTTTTTGAACTGATTTTTTCACAACCTTTGAGACAATCCAAAGTGATTAGACAGTGCCAGTTCAGCAATCGAAAGAGGCAGTAACTCTTAGTAGCTCCCCTCCTTTGTGGGAAGCATTTCTTGCTCAGCATGTCCCATGATTAACGTAGCAATAGTAAAATAAACAATACAAAGCTATCAATGAGGCTATTGCTATGTTAGAAAAAAATTACAGGTGATTATATAAACACTAGAAGAAGTTTCAGTTAAAAAAGTGTGACTTTGCCTATTAGTGGAGAGCAGGAGGTCCCGTGCTAGAACTAATCCTTTTAGACTAAACAAAACTACTTCCGTGATCCAAGTTCTCAGATTTCAGAGTTGAGTTTACAAACTTGGCCCATATCAAGCTAAGTAAAAATACAAAGAAACCATCTCAAGGACAAGTTACACAATCATGACTGAGAAACAGGACAAACAAAGCAAGAGTAACTTTGTTAGATACCATGAAAGAAAGAAGCAAAGTTTTTTTATTGAAAATATGAACAGAATAGAGAGAGAAAAAACAAATCAAAACAACAACAAAACCCCCCAAAGATGGTATTTACAAGTAAGCCCGAGCTGAATGCTTACCAAATCAATATTAAAATAGAAGGAAACAAAATTTTAATATTATTTTGAGGATTGATTTTTTTGTTGGTATGAGGCTAGAACCAAAAGTGCAGGGATAAATATGTTAACTGAAGGTTATACAAGGTGTATGTGAATGCTCATTTGCACTTACAGTGGTTGGTTTCTATACTTGTAGAAATGCTTTCAGTCTCATATGTGAAATTCAGTCTCAAATTGTACGTATGGTTAGTTTCAGTTTAACAGTTTAATTTGAGTCTAGTTTCATGGAGAAATAAAAGATGCCTATAAACACTTTCCAAATGAAAGTGAAGACATTTTGTTTCTTCTTAAGTCAAACTGCAAAACTGGAATTATGCATTTTTCATAAATGCATATTCTTCCTGGGAACATGACATTTTCAAACCACGGATATGAAGGGAAAGTCAGAACAATATTCATTTTTTGCCTAAATCTATGTCTTTGCAAATTAGAAATCAGAGTTCCCTATACGTAGGATTCAGTATAAACAGATTCTGCGCTTTCAGTCTTTTAAACATATACATTATGTTCCCATGTTCACTATAAGTAATCTAGCAAATTAAAATATATATATATAAAAAATAAATATTTGAAAATGATTTTTTATTGGTTATTACGTAATACTGCTTTCAATCAGCTACAGCTGGGGGAGAATTTCTCCATTCTTTGGAGGCAAAGAATAGTTAATAATTAGCCTTTGCTATGTTGCATTAGTGTCTTTTTAATCATTTTTCTCCAATTTACACATGCAAGTCTTGTATGTCGTCATTTAGGAAAAATCTTATCAACTATGAGTTTACTGTTATAACTACATTAAGATTACTTCCAGGGTTACCTCTCATGGAGATTAAGGCTAGTTAAATCTTTGCCAGCTTGTATTTAGTGAAGTCAGACCAACATCCATTTGCCATTTAGTAACTGTTGAATTAAATATTAAGTAGAAGCTTTTACCTTATAAGGTCATACCCTAAATTAGAACTTGAGTTGCTCCTGGTTGTAAGTTTCTTTCCAGGTGGAAAAAATAACTCTTAAAATAAGTCTTGTTTTAAAGAAGAATTATACCCCAAAATAAAGCACTTGCAGGATGGGAATCTTTGAGTTCATTCCTGAAGCAGGCAGAGTACCCATTATCTAGGCTTTTTTTTGACTGAATGTTAGCGTATACTTTCAAAATTCCTGTAACTGTAAAGTGTTAGAGCAGTTTATTTTGTCTATATTAATCATAGCGCTGCAAGCAAGGAAACTGATACCAGAATACCAAAGGCTTGAGCTTCCTTCCTTCTTTGTGCAGCAGCAACCTCTGCTTCCAGCAAGCAGCTATGCCCTGACAGATTAATTCTCCATACATCTTTGCCTATAGGTGGATTATAGGCACCAAGAACATATACAGGAAATTTCTAACAGAAGGAGTTTTCTATCCAGCTATCCTATTACACTTAGAAATTGCACACTTAGAGAAGAACCAGGGATCAATCTGGAAGATCACAATCAGGAAGAACACTCCAAGTGCTTACTTATGCAAGGGGTCATCCTGGTTGATGTGATGGGAAGGGGAACCAGAATCTGGTTTACTTCTAACCTTTAAGTAACTCTCAACATCTGGGGAGGAGGAAGTAGATCAAAATGCCTCTGCATGTGCTGCCTTCTCTGTAAATGCTGAGCTTGCCCAGAGTCCGAGTCCGAGCACTCTGGCCCCCCGGGAGCGCTAGGCAGCCTGGCGAGCCCAGCATCCAAGCATTCCACCCAGCATGAGTGCGCCTAAAAAGGAGACAGAGCAAGTACAGAGTAGAAATATCTCCCCATGCTGCTTTCGTGTGAAAACTAGTCCTAAAAATGAAGCTACAAAAATAAACTTTGCCCTATCCAATTTGCCTAGTTCTTTTAAATAGTCTCATATCCCAGCTTGGCTTCACACTGCCAGGCCCTTTTAGCCTGTCTAGCTGTAGTTCTTGAGTGGTCACTGAGCTTTTCCTTATTCCTTTAGAAGCAAACAAACAAAAAGAAGAATATTTGTGTAGCGAATTATTCTCTCTGCAGTTTCACGAAATCTAGTGAGAAGCAGCTCACTACTTGTTCTCTTGAATAGTGAGAGACTTTGCCAAAGTTTTCCCCTCTACAAGCAGGGAAAGATAATGCGTTGTGTAAACCGTTTTTAAAGGGTCATTACCTTCATCTCTGCAAGTAAAGCTTCATATGTAAATATGGTAAAATCCAGCATATTATGAGCAATGGTGCTTTTCTCTCCATTCAAACAATGAGAATGGTAGGAGAAACAGTGAGTTAGGTCATCTCCTCCTTTCCCAGATTTTAACTGTGTTTTCCAGAAGTGTTTAAATGTTTTTTGTTGGTACTTTAAAAACATGACGGTGAATGTTTCGTCACAGTGAGTAGGTTTCAATTACATGAATGTAAAGATGTAAAGCTCCCTTACGTTTTCCCCAAGGTTATGAATTACTAATGGCTGAAATACCTGCTTTGCATTTCAAAGGTATCGAGGTCAAAGTCTGTTAGTTATTGCCATTTTCCAGCAGTTCTTGGTGTCAGGGCCTTGAGTGCATAACCCGTCCTGGGGGATGGGTGCCTGGGCTCAGGGCCAGCTCAGATTATGGTGCAGGCACCCAGCCTTGAAAAGAACTGCTCTTGAGCCGCTCCATGGGGACTCAGCACCACCAGAGTGGCTCCCAGTTCTCGCTCTTGGTCCTCACCTAAGCTAGGCTTTAACTATATCCACGTCTTATGTCCTCTTGGCCCAGAAACTAATCCCAGCCCACGGTTTTGAGTTTGCGGTTCAAAATCAGGCCTTCCTCCTCGCTATAGTGTCAGCTAAACCTGGCCACCACTACCAGATGTCTTCTGCTGTGCTTGCTGAGGTGCCTGGAGCTGTCAGCAAGGCCCCTGCCCTGCTGCCTGGCTGCTGCATGGCTCTCAGCTCCCAGCCCCAGCAGAGCGGCCCATGTTCACCACTGCCCAACATTTGGGTCATCCAACA